TCTGCTAACCAAAAGGTTGGCAGTTCAAATCCACCAAGCACTCCTTGGAAACTCTACGGGGCAGTTCTACTCTGTCCTAAGAGTTGCTATGAGCTGGAATCGACTGGATGGCAACAGGTTTGGGTGTTTTTTTTTTTTTTGCAGCCAAAACCTAGGACACCGATTAGCTCTTATTGTTTTTCTACAGCCTTTTTAAAACCTTTTTATGTTCTTCTCCTGTATAAACTTATATCATCTTCCTAGTACTTTTCTTTGTATCTCTGCTTCTCCCTTTAAGTCATGAGCTCCTTCGGATCGGGGATAAATATCACTCATCTTTGTATCACTAATTGGACCCAGCAAATAGTAGGTTCTCAAGAAATGTGGAAAATAAGGTAGTGAAGTGAACAATAAATTAGGAGTTAGAAGACTTATGTTCAAGATCTAGTTCTGGACAAATTTCTTCTAAGATTCAATCTCTTCATCTGCAAATTGAGAAAGGGGACTGGATAACCTATAGGTTTTTCTTATCCCCTCTGACATTCCAGACAGTCTGATTCTTTCCAAAGAAAGTATTTAATGGGGCCCATATTTTTAAAAATATTTCTATTTCATGATCCTAGTACGTAGCCCAGTCTTTCAACAACCTATGACATCTAACTCTAACAGGTGTTTACTTACATGGAGACGGAAATTGCGGTCCCTTAAGACTGCCAGTTTTTCAGTAGATGTCCTTGCAGGTTTGGATGGATGAGCTGTTTTCTGGTAAGTAGCCATCAGAATACCAGAGAGTGAGCTTAACATAAGATGACCACTGGTGCTCTCTTACCACCAAGATTTCTGGCAGGATATGGGACCATGTCATTTCCTGGCTACTGTTGTCTCTCCATTTGTCCCAGGGACTTCAACATGATATGGGGAGCTTGTGATTACATCTCCCTCTAGTGACTAAAACCTTCATATAGCACAGTCTCCTGTGGCACAGGAGAAAGATGTGGCTAGAAAATCCAAATTAAAAAGATCATGTATTATTCCTTTGCTAAGGCGAGGAACACTCTGTAACTATTGCTCTGTGGGAGGAGCAACATTTATCAGGTATTCCACTTTGCATTTGAAATAACTAAAACTCAGGAGGCATTTGTGTGTGTGTGTGTGTGTGTGTGTGTGTGTGTCTGAAAACCAAAGAGTCCAAAGTCTGTTCTCTTAATATGATTCACCAGAACAATCATCTCCCAGAGTCTTATATCAGCATTAATAATCTCCAGAACAAATATAAAAAATAATAATCCCTCTTCTATTCACTCTCTCTATAATTATACACAAGACTAGTTCTGGTGGATATAGTCATGGAATATTTTCTTATACTAAGGAAAATAAATATCAGGCATGCAAATTTTCAACCCAATAATCTACCTTCATAAGAGATATTAATAATGACACTTATCCAAGATTAACTTACAACCAATGCTTGGAGAAGTAAGAAAGACCAAAGAGAAGACATTCATCTTTTAGGACTATAGCTTTCCCAAGAAAGGTTGTAGAAACGGCATCATTTATACTTGCACCATCCCTTCTGCAATCGTCTAATGTGTTTCAAGGGAAAAGATGAGGCAAATAAATAGCTATTCGTCCAATCAAAACAAGAAGACAATTTTCCCTGGGTTGGCATAGAACTTGCTTGAGGTCTCATAAGTAAGAGGCCAAGCCAATGATATCACCTCGAGACTCTAACCTCAGGACATCTCACCTTTCACGTCAAATACCCTAATCCCCTCTATTGAGTGCAGCTTCAGGTCAAGGGATTATGATGTCCTGGACCTTAAAGAAAGTATTGGCAGTCGCCAAAAAGTGCATTTCAGCAGCTTTCTTTTCATTAAAACTAATATCTGAGATGGAAGCTAGGAGCTAGACACGGGGGAAGAAGGGATTTTCACCAGCTCAGTGGGAAGTCCCTCTGGTTTCTAAGGTCGATTTCTCAGTTCATTTTATGAAGCTCTTAACACAGCTGGTCCTGTCATTTTAGACGAACAAGGTCAGTTTATTTCACCATTGATCTTGAAGATGAGTAAGAAAGAAGTCAAGTCTGCAATTTCTACACAGTTGTACAATATTGAATTGGCTCAGATATTAGAGAGTAATCTGCCAAACTTTTTCATTTTACAGCACAGAAAACTAAGACCTCCAGTAGGTAAGAGAGTTCCCAAGATCAGAGAGAAAGGGTAGAACTAGAAGCCAGATCTCAAGATTCCAAGGACAGTGTACTTTGCACAATGCCATACTGTCTTTTTGTTGGTTTGTTTCCAAAACAGACCAGAGATCACACATCCAAATAAACCAGAGAGTACACATCCAAATAAATGTAGATTTATTTTTTGGTCCGTTCAAAATATTCCTCATAGAATTTACAGCTGTTTCAATAATGTTACTATTGTTAAAAACATATTTAGGACTCATCTTTGGTCATTATACTTGGTCTACAGCACATTGAGGAGCCCTGGTGGTGCAGTGATGGTGCTGCTAACCACAAGGTCAGCAGTTCAAATCCACCAGTCGCTCGTCAGGAACCCTATGGAGCAGTTCCACTCTGTCCCACTGAGTAGGAATCAATTCAAGAACCACTAACGATAACAACAAGAACAAAATGGCACACTATCAGTGATTTCCTTAGCTCTCAGACTGTTAGCTCCTTAAGGGCCCAGTCTGTGTTTTATTTTGCCTATACCTCTAGCACTTAGCATATCTCTTGATACATAGTAGGTCATCAGAAGTATATTTTGAATAAAATTAGCCAATGTTGATCTTTTGATACAACATTTAGTTATTGGAGATAGCCAATATCATGAGGGGAGCTCTGGTGTCATAGTGGTTAACAGCTTGGCTGTCAACCAAAAGTCAGCACTTCGAATCCACCAGCAGCTTCTTGGAAACCCTGTGGGGCAGTTCTTCTCTGTCCTATATAGGTCACTGTGAGTCAGAATCGACCCAATGGCAACGGGAATATCATGAGAAAAAGTTCAAGATAATAAAAGCAAACTGGAAAATCTAGCTCATTGGACTCAGAGTCCTTGTCTCTCTCACAGAGTAATTTGAATACAGAAACCATGTCTTATCCCCCACCCCCAAATTCCCACAGTACCGTTTTCAATTCTTGCACATCAAGAGGACACTAACAGACAGTCGATAAATTTTGGATGAATAATGGAGTAATAGGTATTAATTTGGATGAAAATAGAAACTTGTTTATAGGTTGCTGAAGCAAGACTGAAATGGCAGTATTTCTTGGTTGGAAAAGAAAATTTACTTGAGTTATTACTGAAGTTCTAACCCTTGACTAGCCACATAGCCGTATGGGATGAAAATATATTGTAGGACAGTAGATTGTACCAGAAACTGGCATCCAAATAACTTCAGCTTCCAACATCCTGATCCAGAGTATTATCAAAGAGATAGTGTTATCTCTTTAGCAAGGACCTCAGCTTGTTCTTTTCAGGATGTGATATATACTCATGTCAATAACCCCTTGCCAGTAAGACTTATACATTAAATAAGGAGTATTTATAACTATAGTCAGTTCTCTGATACTTGCTGAGGCTAGTTGTGTTTGGTGTTTGGAATTGCATACATTTAAGTTTGCCTGGGATATCAGGCTGTTAACAAATGTCATCTGGGAATAATGCACCATGAGGGATTTTCTGAGAAAATCACATGACATTTAAATCATAAAAGACTTTTTAATTAATGTGCTTGGGCAAAACCAATGAAAGCTAGCTAGGAGGTGTCTCTCTTTTTAAATCCATAGTTGATTAATAAGACTTAGGCCCATATTTCCATCTGATCCTATATTCTTTTGGGAATAAGAGTTAAATAACTTTGTTTTATTGCCACACATTGTCTTGGGCAGGGTTGAAGGTGAACTAGTCCTGGAGATAAGAACTTTAATTGTAGGGCTAGCTACTAGGATGGTCAATAGTGCCATGAGTGTTTTCTCACCATCCAAAATCAATATTTTTTTCTTTCTGGAGGAATATGCTTGAAATATTGTTTCATTCTCTAAAAGGAACCTCTCTGTATTTGAGATCTTTAACGTATTCTAGTTAATCATGAAGTACGTAAAGTTTACAAGGTGTTTCATCACTACATTGGTTTCTGGAGGAGATCAAGAGCTGGTTGCATTCAGTCCCAGGCACATACAAAGATGGGTGTTTGGTGGGGAAAGGGAGGGACTTTATCTTCCACACTGGCTCTATCTTTTTGGTTTTCCTGATGTAACTCTCCATCTAGAGGGCTTATCAGTACTCTGGAACTTTAAAATGAATATCCCCACATGGGGCAAGTCAGGATGAAACTGAGCAAAACATCAGGGCAGGATGGAAGACACCTCTGTTAAGCAGTCAGTCAGTGGGGCAAGTTGCTGGCTATTGTCTTATTGTTTATACGCCAGCAAGAAATGCAGCCAAAGCCCTTGACCCGTACGATATCCAGTTCTCATTCCAGTGAAGACTGAGTCAGTGAAGGGAACTCTCATTTGACTCCCATGCGGCTCCTAAGCCCCAGCCAGCAACAGCCCTCGGTTGAGAGTGTACTCAGGAGAGGGTTGGGGTCTTGATGTGTTTGCTCCTCCCTGTGACACTCAAAATTAGTTCCTGTCTTCACAGGAGCTGCTAACCACCCCACTCTCCACATCATCACACCCTCTCTTTTCGTACAACACAAGGGATTTTTTTCAAGTCTCCAGGATGGGAAGATATTCTATTTCCCCTCCCAATCCATATTCTCCCAAATCTGTGAATTAATCACGTGAATTCTACCCAGCCACCTGAAATCAAGGCTTTCAAAACTCAAAAGCCAAAAACGGACTCCATTTTTCTCTGCCTTAATATTACCCCCGATGACAACCATCAGGTGTACTGTAAATTTCTGTATCTAACTCTTTAGACTCACACAGACAAAACATAGATGATGAGAGACATATCTGAGTGTTCCAGACTGCTTGTCAATGGCTCTCTTACCTCAATAAGCTCTTTTTTTTTTTTTTTTTTTGTTTCTTGTTTCCAATGCCTTATTTGCCTCTAAAACTCTCTGGTTGCTAACACATTATATTAAATTTTTGGAAAGCCATTTTTTTCTTAACTGAATTCCCATAATTCTATGCCTTTGGTATTTACTCATTTTTATTTGTCTAGCTCCTCAATTACCAAAGAGAATGTCAACCTATTCCTGAAATAACGGAGAAAGACATTCTATAATGGCTTCCTTTACTAAATAAGTTGAAAAGATAAAAATAAACAAAGCCAGGAATGATTCTGCGATAACAAAAGATTATTACCTAAACAATCCCAAGCACAAAGACACAAAAATACTAGTTAAACATGAAGGGCAACCAGAAGGACAGTGAGAACTGCCTTTATCATAGATACAGCTGAAATATGTTCTTAAACCAGTCATATTCAACTTAACAATAGCTAATGTCTGCTGACGCTAAAGAGTATTTTTATAAAGATTTTTATTTAATTAAACCTCACCCATTTATAATCCATGTAAACAAAGACGAAACACAAAACTCTTAGCACTGGTATTCTGGTAAGGACACAGTAAAAGAACAAGTGAAGATGCCCACGGTGAAACTCACAAACAGGTTCAAACACCATAAACTCGGTTCCTAAGACTTAAGAGTTGGATGCATGGTAAGGAAAAGAGGATTTTTCATAAACAAGAATGTACTTCCATCAACATGAAGCACAGTCAAATGTTATTATATCAAATTTTTTTTTTTAATATGAAACTACAGAAGGGAATTTGCAGGGCAGGGAGGAATCTGTGCAGCTGATTACTTTCCTCTTCGTATCTCCAAATTTTTCAGAATGCGACTTTGCTGTGTGAATTAGATCTTACCCCTTAACCTCCTTGAGTCCTTCCAGCCTCAAAAATAAAATTGAAAAAATAATATCTATGTCACGTATCATTATGTAAATGTTGATGAAAGAATCAATAGGATGTCTTAACGGGTACGATATAGACAGGAGAGAAAAAGATGACCAGGGATAACTTTAAGGCATTTGCCCTGAAGGTCTGGGAGGTTAGGGTTGCCATCAATTGAGCTGGGGAAGCCTGTGGATGGAGCAGGTCTTAGACGCATACCCTTCCAATAGTGTCCCAGCATGCTGAGAATATTTACTGTAACCAATTCATCGGTTAGCCCAGGTCTAGCACACGTGGCCTATGGTTTGTTGGGTTCCATGGCAAAATATCTTTACATGTGTTGGTTCAAGATACTTCAATATTGAAAGAGCCAATTGCCACAGAATCAGATTACCTACAGAAAGGTGGGTCACAGTCATCTAAATGATGAACTCGATTTCATGGGATACTTACATTTCCTTATTGTTTTATTATTGAGCCTGGTGGCGTAGTGGTTAAGAGCTCAAGCTACTAACCAAAAGGTTGGCAGTTCAAATCCACTAGTCACTCCTTCGAAACCCTATGGGCCAGTTCTACTCTGTCCTATAGGATCGCTGTGAGCCGGAATTGACTCGACGGCGGTTTTGTTTTCTTTGTTTTTTTTTTTTATCAAATACATTTTATGTTTGTGGGAAAGAATTTTTGATATGTATTAGAAATCATGCTCCAAACACTTTTTTTTTTTTTAATGCTGTGGACTTTTAGACATAATCAGAAGATAAAATTCTAACTGGGATGGAAGATAACGTGATTGAAGCAGTTTTAGCAGGAGTGTTTTCTGTTAATAATTGTAAGCATGCACAGCTCCTTCTCTCTAGCTGACAAATTCCTTCTCTGAAAAACTGTAGGGGTGCTAAGTTATTCATCTTTCCTACTGGGAAGTCAATAGACATCTAAGAGGTATAAATAAAGAAATAGAAATTTCAGCCTGTTATTTAGAACTATAAAGGTATAAAACTGAGTGAAGGTTGAGAAGAAGTATTAATTTTCGTAGAAGGGAGTCATTAAATACTATGTCAGTTGAAGTCTGAGCAGAAACCAGATGGCACACTGTTGTTGAGGAGAGTTTAATGGAAGGCAATTTACAAAGCTGTGGACAATGTTTAGGTAAAACAGTAAAGGATTATAAAGTACCCAGACTCTGCCACGGCATGGGGGAAACCGTAATGGCCAGCATCTGGTGTGACCGTCATTGCAGGAGAGGACAAGTCACAGGAGTTGCGGCTGAAAGCAGGTATAGCCACAAAGGTAGGAACCACTGCCCAGTGACATCACCAGAATTGGTGTCACCCAGTGCGGTAACTCATGGTGTCACCCCCCCACCCCCACCCCATGGACCTCCTCTCCTACCAGACCATACAGAATCCATGGCAATGTTTTTAATATTAATGTCACTAGTAATTTGCAATTCCCTTACATTACTGAATGCAATGGCAATAGCAGTGACATGAACAACTAGAAAATTAAAATGACCCCCTTAAATTACAATATCACAGGCACAGCCTAGATATAGTTACATTTACATAATTTCATGTGGTTAAAGTGAAAAACTGGTAAGGAAACTAGAATTTGAAGTAAAAATGTTTAAGAACTACATCAAAATTATATTCATTTAACGTTAAACTTTACTGTCACCTGAGATATAATAATGGATTAGGTTTGCATAATCAACAACGGCCCCAAAAATGTAGAAGTTGTAGACCAAGGCATATGGAAATATATTCATAAGTGAAATAATACCGTAAAAATAAACAGGAAAAAATACTCGGGCATTTCTGCACTTAGTGAACAGCTCAGCTAAATAAGAAATTTCTTTTGCTGGCCTTCATAGCTATGAGCTTCTGAATGATTTCATTGAAATCAATGCTTTTCACCAACTCACTTTCAATCAATAATATTGCAAGATTGGAAAGCCTTGACTGTCCAACGGTAGGTTGTAAATATTCTTTGTATGTTTCAGCTTTGAAAAGCTCCTCTCACATGAAGGCACAGACACACAGATAGAAATAATTTTAGGCTTAGTGAAAGGGTTGGGAGAGATTCTACGAAGTCCCATTCAGCTATGAATGTCAAAATGTCTAATGTTGCCCAATCTTTGGTTTCTTCCACATCAATCTCTGCTGCTTTCAGGTGCCTTCTCAGCCTTGGTACTTCTATTGAAAGCTCACTCTTGGATACCTCATCATAGAAAGTGGTCAGTTTCGGAATGGATATCTTTAACTGTTCTTAGTGGCAGATACGAGACTTTTCACTTGAACAGCTCAAACATGGCTGCTACTTCCTTGATGGCTCTTGATCTGATCTGGAGTTCAGAAAGAAAGTGATCAATGCACTCAAGCATCACCCTCTTATTTTCTCTTGCAGAGTGAGTCCAGCATCGCTTGCCTGCTCCCCTTCCTCTGCCATCCTCTTCTTGAACCTGGCTCTTCTCTCTAAGACAATTCCATAGTTGCCTGATTTTAAAAGTGCCTGCTCAATTGTATGTTCCACTAGGTGACTGTGCTCCTTCTGCAGAAAAATTGTAGCACCTCAGCTTGGTCACCACCTTGTTGAGAGGTAAGCCCTTAGTCTGCAGGTGCTGCTCTGTAAGATTAACTTCCTGAACTACATCACACCAGAGGTACAGCCGGCACAGAAAAGTGAAATCACAGACAGCAGGCAAAAGACCTTGTGCTGTTCCTCGTGTGTCCAGATTTTCACGTGGATCACAAAGAGCTTCCATGGCTGCCACAAACTTGTCGAACTTTTTTTAACTGGCGTAATTGCAGCATGATAAGCCCTCCGGTGTGTTGTTGATAGTTTTTTCAGCGACACTCCAGTATGGTCAATCAACACATCCTATCGATGGGTGGAAGCAGCAAAGAATGAGAACATGGTGTCAAGAGTTCCAAAACATGTCACACAAGATGCATTTTCAGCAAGAGTGCTAATCGCACAAGTTAGCAGATGGTCCACACATTCATTTGGTGACCCTATTATTTTCTGCTTTGGATTTTTTTTTTTTGATTCCATGTGTTTTCATTCATGAAAGTATGCTGAGTTACAGGGTGTGCTTAAATTTTTGGTTAGTAACATGGATTTTGAGAAATATTATCTGGGACTACATGGTTACCACTGAACTTTTTGGGTCCTCTGATTGATGGGTGCAATGAACTTTGGTTGCTGAAAATATAGCAAGGCACCTTCTATTAAGTTACCTGAAGAGTCTCTGGTTTTCCAAATACGACACAAACAAAACCAAACTCACTAAGGTTCCCTAACTATCACACCAAAAAAACCAAACCCATTGCCGCGGAGTTCATTCTGACTGATAGCGACCCTATAGGACAGACTAGAACTGCCCCATAGGGTTTCCAAAGACCGGCTGGTGGATTCGAACTGCCAACCATTTGGTTAGCCGCTGAACTCTTAAACACAGTGCTACACAGGAAACCATAAACATGCTTACAAGCAGGGGTAGATTAACGAGTAAGCACAGTCTGCTTATTCTGCTTGTAGCACACACGCAGACGAAACCACGTGACTCAAAGCGCATTGTAATCGGGTAATAATGAAAGCTCTGACGGCAGCACGTTAGATGGTTCAAAAAGTAAATTAGCTTAGAGTTGTATCCTTGAAGGTATATTAATACATGTAAGTTGGGCTTATAAAAAATTGTTATAATTAACTACAGGGATGTTTATATAAAAAAATAAATTTCTGCTGAAACCCTGACAAAAATCTTATAGTTAGTCATTTTGGTGTCACCCCCTCTGAAAGTATCACCCAGTGTGGTCCACACTCCCCTCACTCCCCTAGGGACGCCACTGCCACCGCCCACCCATGGCCCAACCGAGAGGCAGCTAGGGGGACAAATACTCTCCCTCAATCTCCTCATGATTCCTCCCATTGGCCAAACTCAATTGGAAGCCAAGGGCATGAGAGCCTAGATAGGAAAATCCAGAGGTCAGCCTTCTAGGTCACAGTGTAGGGTGGAGGCTGGTGGAGAATGGACTTGGAGATGTACACATAATCCAGCCCAGAAACTATCTAAGATCAGAAGCTTAAACATATTAAAGTCTTCTAGGAAAATACATAAATGTCGACAAAAACAATTAATTTTAAAACATTTTAATATATATATGTCTATATGTGTATACATCATATCTCTTGTGGTGAAGAAGCATATATCAGCAAATCCTTGAATTTCACTTCAGTTACAATTTAAATAACTTAAAGGTAATTTCCATTATATTCAAGTAATATTATATTTAATGATCTTTATAAAAATTGTGATATAGCCCCATTTTAAAGGATTTCTATCATCTATCATTCTGTGTACATATATATATCATTGTGAATATATAAGCCTATATATAGATATAGATATATATAGAAAGAGAGGTAGAGAGAGATCTGAAATGATGTGTAAATAAAGTATAAAAATAGTTATATCTGGGTGACAAGGGTTTATTTTTTAACTTTTCTATATTACCTGAATTTTTAATAATAAGAAATGTACAATAAAGGCTAAAAACTAAAAATATATATTCCAATGCAGAGGGAAAATACGTCTACTGGTTTGGGGCAGACTTCTTCAAATGCCACCTTTTCTATGAGAACTTACTGGCTGTCACAGTCAGAATTACTTCCCTCCCTCCTCTGTCATTTCCATTAAAAAGTGAAACTACAGCGTCAAAGCAAGAAAATTCAATGATGTCTGCTTATGTAGTCTGTGATCCATGACAGAGAGTTTGGTAAAGAGTTCAGGTCAATTAGTGGGAGGAGGTTACTGGGAGATTTTGTGAGATAAGCAGGAGAAGGTGCCAAAACATACTATGAAGAACTTGAGCTAAGGAACAGGAACCAGCAAACAGCCAAGGCAATGAGAGGCAAGAGCATAGAAAATGGTGACCAAGAAAATCCAACAAGTCCTCTCCTTCTGAGCTTATTTCCATGGGTCCTATGCATGCTTTCTGGTC